ACCTCAACTGGCTCGTCTCGATTGCATAGATCCAAACCAATTGCTGTTTAGTCCAATCAGTGCCTAATTTTGTATTAATTTGTCTGTTACTTAATTTTCAGTATGGCAGCTTATCGTGAATGTTTGGTAAAAATGAAAAGTGATATAATGTGACAGAATAATCAAAGATCTGGGTAGCCAACTTTAACAAAACTGTTCGATTTCAACATTACAAAGCTCAAGACAGCAGCTTCATCCTCCAGAAATATCAGCTTTGGTTTGTTGTGCACTTCCAAAAACGTCCTCAAGTTATTTTGTATGACTAGGACAGAAACACAATATTTTATAACCTTTTAATATTCCTTTCATTTGCATGGCATTTCTACTCCATGTGCACAAAGGAGCATTTAAGGGTTTGCAATTCATGTTTTTCAGTGAATTTTGAAAATTAAATATATAAAAATAATTATACAGGTGGACAGCTGATGAACAGAATAAAATATAGTGAAAGATTCAGGGTCTTAATAGGTTTAGATGAAATAATTGACCTAAAAATGACACCAAGACCCCAAACAAACACAATAATCCCACAAACTAATAATCCCTATATGATAAATAAGAAGATCTGCACATTTCTTCTTATAAAACTGCGTCTGATTCACATCAGCGTGGGACGATGTGAGCTGCTGATCTGTGCAAAGTAGCTTTATTTCAATTTGCAATAAAGAAAAACTCCTCACAGCTTAAATGGGATTGACCACAGCTGCCAGGTCGGCTCGACAGTCTGGTGCCTGAAGCCCCCACCGACACAACACACACACACACACACACACAAACAAACACTCACACACATGCACACACACACAGAGAAGGAATCACCTGGCAGACAAACAGTGAAAAGTGGTGAGCCAGAGCCAAACGGTGACATCAGGAACACCGTGTGATTCTACGGAGGAGCAGAGCGTCTCGACCTTTTTGGAGCATCGATAACTGTCCGCCATCATTAGACATTTATGTCCATGTGTGCTCCGTTGTGAGGTTGAAGCGACCTCATTAAGTCCGAGTGGAGGTGGAAACTGAATCTATTTGGCTGCTTTTGAGAACTCTGAAGGTTGAAGTTAAAGGGTTGTTCATCACTTCTGCACCAGGAGTCTGCAACCTGCAGCTCTGGAGTCATTTCACGACTAAAGTTTAAGAACTTTGCACATCAAAATTTATTTTTCAAATTGTAAGACCCAAGTGGGCCCGCTAGGATGCATTTGTTTCCACATATGTTTTACAGTAGATTTGCTGCTGCAGCTTTAAGCTGCTCAATCAACAAAAGCTAAAATATTATTACAAACATGTTTTCTGAATGATGCAGTGTTTCCCTGCAGCCTTATTAACAGGCTTAGCCTGTACCTCCATGGCTTCCCGTCCATCCCGCGTGTAGGAATGTGTGCGAGGCATGTAGCTTTAGCCAATTTATCAAGCCGGCAGATAAGCAGAAGACAGATCGGTAGAGATGGAGACAGAGAGAGAGACAGATAGGGTTGGAGGAAGTTCCTGACATTACCCAACAGCTCTGTATCTAACAGTTGGAACAGGGAGGAGGGGGATTGTGCAACAGCTGGGCTTTCTGTTTCTTTCTCATAAGACGAAACTGCATCTCTTGACTTACGGGAATGAAACAAAAATGAGTCAATCAGCTCCTGCTGGTGAAGCAATGAGGCCAATAATAGCTGTGGGTGAGATATTCAAAGGAACTGACACATGCTGGCTGTGTGGCGACACACGAGGGTCTGAGAAAAGGGACAGTTTTAAGGGCTTTTTCTTCAGAAACATCAACACGTCTGTGGAGGCATTCGCCCTCTCGGGCCTGTTTTTACCGTGGAGCCGAGGCAGTCAAATGAACTCTAAAGGAAACAATGACTCACATGCAAATACAGCTGAGCGCTGCACGGTGTTTCAATTTAAATGCAATTTGCATGAATAATCCTTCGATTGAACAATGGCATCAGGCAGGCGAGGGTTCAGGGGAAGGTGGAAGTTAATCGTTAAGGGAGCGAATCTTTTTCTGCAAACATTTACAAACGGTGGTCACGTTCTTGGTCCACTCGGGTCAGACTGACTCGAACAGCGACGGGGCAGAAACAGAAGAACCTGCTAGTTAACAGCGAGATTTCCTGAAACAAAAAGCCGCTGGGAGCAGAATGTCCTGACCTTTTTTTCCTCTGAGTAAGCAGTTTCAGCTTCAACATAGATGCTCGCACGCTCCAACCTTATTATTAGTAAACATACCTGACGTTCACGTCATTCCACTTGGTGCATTTCTGTTGTGTTTGGAGCGTTTTAACCATAGCTGCAGGCCCAACAAGTTCTTAAAAACAAATAAATGAACCAAAGCCAAAATTCTTTGGCTGCAGTTTTTTTTTATATTTTTTTGGGGGACTTTCATAGCGAGAGCTGACATGCAGACACAGAAGCAAGCATGCGGTTCTCAGAACGAGAGGGGAAACGATCGGTGGTGTCGTTCGTGGAAACGTGTGGTCTCCAGTACACGTTAGCCTCTTCAGAGAAACTACTTTCAGTGGCAGAAGGAGAATAACGCTGCCACTAGATCAAAGAGATTCAGCGTTTTCACTTGCCAAAGAGGACATTTTTATTTTTAGTGTGGCTTTCTTTGATTTCGTCTATTAATATCTGATTTAAAAGTGCACGCAGCAAGTCGAGCCGAGTCTGAGAACTCTCGTGTGTTTAAATAGAAAAATAGAAAAATAGGTGAACCTATTGCACTAATAGACATGAGAGCAGATGCTGATGAGACAGCACTAAAGAGTTTGCAGAAGTGGGAGTTGCAGAAGGGTGAAGCATCAGCAAAGGCCTTCAGAAGAAGCAGCTGCTATTAAGAGTAGTGGTCTTCTGGACCAGTCGTGCCTTAAGGATGCACTCATTCACTGGTTTTTTAACACATTTGCATTGCTCTCTAGTATAAATGAAAGCCTTGTGAGACGATCTCTGGATAAAAAGCTCTGGCGCTCCTGTTTCAGGAAGTAAAAGCCGTCATCGTCTTCCTCCGCTTATTCGGGTCTGGGTTGCGGGGGCAGCATCCCAACTAGGGAGCTCCAGACCGTCCTCTCCCCGGCCACCTCCACCAGCTCCTCCGGCAGGACCCCAAGGCGTTCCCGGACTAGATTGGAGATGTAGCCTCTCCAACGTGTCCTGGGCCGACCCGGGGGCCTCCTGCCGGCAGGACATGCCCGAAACACCTCCCCAGGGAGGCATCCTGACCAGATGCCCAAACCACCTCAACTGACTCCTTTCGATCCGGAGGAGCAGCGGTTCTACTCCGAGTCCCTCCCGAATGTCCGAGCTCCTCACCCTATCTCTAAGGCTGAGCCCAGCCACCCTACGGAGGAAACTCATTTCGGCCGCTTGTATCCGCGATCTCGTTCTTTCGGTCATTACCCAAAGCTCATGACCATAGGTGAGGATTGGGACGTAGATCGACCGGTAAATCGAGAGCCTGGCTTTCTGGCTCAGCTCCCTCTTCACCACGACAGATCGGCTCAGCGTCCGCATCACTGCAGACGCCGAACCAATCCGCCTGTCGAGCCTGTCAAGTAAAAGCGTTTCCATCTATTTTCTATCAGAAGCTAATGCAGAGTCAGGTGTAGGAGACTATTCAGGTTGAACTCAGTGACTGATGGACTTGGCCTGTTTTCTACTAGCAGATGCATGTGTGACTTTAACAGCAACATGTGTTAAAGCGGTCTGTAGGGGTATTAAACAGCTTGTGGAGATGCTTTGTCCACCTTCCATCCATCTGGATCCCAGCAGGTAAACACACGCTGTGCTCACCTGACAGAAACTAACTGGGACTGATGGGATCAGCAGCAGCAACCTCATTTGCTGCTGCGTAAATCTTCTGCTTCCCTGTAGGTGGGGTCAAGGCAGCGCTGTCTCTGATGATTAGTGCCGAGGCCAGGAATCCCACCGGGAGCCTCACAACTGATTAAACCTACAACTCTTATCTATCCAAGACAACAGGTTTCCTGACGGGCTGCAGCCTGCTGGACCCCATCTCTGCTCCGATGTCCAGATTAAACCCAAGTGAGCCTGTTAGAAGGACTGACAAAAACAAGATATGAGATGCGAGGAAGCTGATGGCTCAGATTATTTGCTTCTCACTTCTGCGTCAGATTTCATCCAGGCGGAACGACCTAAAGGAGCCGTGTCCAATCCTGCCCCTCCAGGGCCACCGTACTACAAGGTTTAGAGGTTTTCTCCTTCAACACACCTGATTTTGATCAGCAGGTGATTAACAAGCTTCAGCAGAGCTCAGTGACCTACTGAACAGGTAATGTGATCACTGAATTGTGTGTTGGATCAGGATAACAACTAAAACAGGCAGGACAAGGGTCTTTTGAGGACCAGGACACAGATCTACACTTTTATTATTTGCTGTACTTTTGGTTATTTTATAGATAATTCCACATATTAAGTGTTTTACCCGATGCTGATCCACCCAATGAAAAGCTGGAACAGAACACAAACAACACCCACGCAGGTGTAGATAAAAAAACTCTGGTTCCTATTTTAAACCTTTTCTTTCATAATCTGAATAATCATCTGCACCATTCTGTTTGTCCTTGCTTATAAATAACCCATATATATACATATATATAGAGAGAGAGGTGGTATGGTACATGTATATATACATATACATATATATATATATATGTATATATATATATATATATATATATATGGTTTGTGCACGAACCTCCCAGCTGCAGCTACGTTTGCATCCTTTCATCACATAAATGTGCTTTTTCTTGCCGTCTGCCTTCCACCGTACTTCTCCATCTCTTCGCCAGCTTTCCCGCTTCGACCGTTTTCAACAAAGGTGTCAAACAGGAAGTTGCGTAACCTCCTAACCCACTAAACTCAGCGTAGGCGGTACATTTGGCACCAGAACGACATAAAAGGATAAAACTCGTGCGTCGCAGATGGAAGAAGGAATGCAAAGAAGTCAGAAATCATAGTTAAAAAAAATATTTATTCAAATCATATAAAAATAGTTTCTAACATAATGTACAATTCTAATGCGAGTGGATGAAAACAAAAACAATCCAAGCTGCGATCATGCAGCAGGTTTTCTCAGTCTCACACACACACACAAGAGTTCACTCACACACCATCAGTAGACGTTGGATGTTAACACACATTAAGATGGAAGTGCTTTTGGGACTATTTACACTTTATTTACACATCACCCTCAAACATACGTACATGCACGTCTGCTCTGAAAGTTTCAAGCCATAAATATGGTCAAAAAAGAAAAAATCCACCTCTGCTGTGTTTTTAAATAACGCGTGGGCCCTTCAGTGACTGGAATGAGACACATACATTCATAAACAGCCAGAATTCTCTCTTAAATAAATAAATATTCTGTAAAAACTGAAAAAAAGCAGAGAAAACAGCTTGTTGCATGTGAGAGAGGAGTCACGGCAATAATAAATACCTCTCTATGTACAATTCTTGCCCTCACTGTATTTTAAGACCTGTGTGAGGCACGGCTTGGAGGTGAAGAGCGGAGGGGGGGGGGGGGGGTCTGGTATGCGTTTGCATTGTTGTGTGCGTTCAGGTGGATCTGAGGAATCAGGAGGAAGCAGAGTTGTGGAGCAGAGGTGGGTGCAGACGTGAATAGACCGAGGTAAGTCCAGTGTTTCTCTAGGTAATGACTGGTTTGCTGCCGGAGCCATGAGGTCGTCTGGTTGCTAATGACATTGGAGTAGTGGTGATGGTGGTGGCTGTAAAAGGCGTGGGCTTTACTGATCTATGCCCAGGAGAGCAGAAACAACAAAGAGCCTCGCACAAAAGTACAGAACAGATTCAAGTATTCTCAGGTCTCCCTAGATAATTTCACAGAAGGCACTTATTTAACTCCAGCATCTCGTCCAACGCCTCCGCTCTTCCCGCTCCGCTGTGACAAAAACGGAGCTGGGAAGTGAACAGGGTGTTGAGAGATTACATAACTCGGACTGTCCGCCCGCTGTTGCACAGAACAGCCTCGACTTGCGCCCTGCGGGCTCCCGGACACCCGCTGCCTGGACCAGAGTCCAGCCAGGACCGTGCCACGGCATCGATGCGACTCAGCAGGAGCGGGTTCGGTCTGCCAGACTGGAACCACAAAGTGACGGTCGGCGACGGCCTCCAGCACGTGTAGTTCCTTACACTTTCTCTGGCTCGGGCGTGGGAACGCCCCTCTCTCTCGCCCCATTTTGAGCTCATTACATCAAGTCTTTTGGAATAGCCTCTGTGGTTTGCCGTCATCACCGGGCCACTGCCACGGGGGTGGGCGTGAAGGCGGTGGGCTCGTGGCCGATGCTGTGCAGCCTGATCTCGGTGGTCGTCTTCTCCGTCTGCGCCGTGGACGGCATTACGGAGGAGGGGGAGGTGTTCTGCATCCACGAGTGGTTAACGATGTCCTCCAGGGACGGGCGGTCAGCGGGCCGCAGAGACAGGCACCACTTAATCAGCTGCTGGCATTCTGGGAGGACAAAAGAGGAAACCAATTAGTCCACAAGTTCACAGCGCATGAAGGAAACAAGATATTCCACCCGGCATGAGCTCACCAGGAGAGACCCTCCTTCGGAAAAGAATGTGTGCCTTCGTGATCTCCTCGTCGTGCTCGAACGGGATGTCCCCGCACACCATGTCGTACAGCAGGACACCCAGGGACCAGATGGTAGCAGATCGCCCGTGGTACCGATGATATCTGATCCACTCTGGGGGGCTGTACACTCTGGTACCTGTCAGACAAAAACACACAGATACACATTAGAGTAGAAATAAAACGGTGCAGGTGTATTTACACACGAACAGCAGCCGGTTAGTGAAAATAAAAGCCCTGCAGGGGCAGATACAGATAGCAGCCGGGCTTGTTTGCTAGGCTTTTATCTGGACTCAGGTGCCAGGCTGCGTGACTGGCAGTGTTTGTGTGAGGGGGGGGGAGGGGGGAGCAGACATGTGACTTTGTTTACAAACTTTGAGTTGTAAAAATGCCACTTCCGGCCAATAGGGGGGACAGAATCTGTGTGTCAGAAATGACACAACCCAGGAATTTCTACTCAAGACCACACACACACACGCGCGCACGCACACACACACACACGGAAAACAAACACGAAATCTCACCGTCAAAGTCCGTGTAAACGGTGTCTTTCAGCAGCGCTCCCGAGCCGAAGTCGATGAGCTTCATCTCGCCGGTGCGGAGGTCGATGAGGATGTTCTCGTCCTTGATGTCGCGGTGCACCACCCCGCAGTTGTGGCAGTGCCGCACAGCCTCCAGCACCTGGCGGAAAAAGCTGCGCGCCAGCTCCTCCGGCAGCGCGCCCTTCTCGGTGATGAAGTCGAACAGGTCCTTGACGTTCTCGGGCCTCTCCATGACGATGATGAAGCTGTCCGGTCGCTCGAACCAGTCCAGCATCTTGATGACGCCGCGGAAGCCCGTGCCCACCTTCTTCAGCAGCACGATCTCCATGGGAACCCGGGAGCCGTTGGGCTGAAAGAACCGTGAAAACCGCTCGTTAGGTCGCAGAAAACGCGCCGAAACGGCGTCTACCTTCGACGTGAATCACACCAAATCACCAAAAACGATTAAAGACGGACTCCGCCGCTTCTAGAGGAATGTGTACAAAATGTCTCTTACCAGATCTCCCCACTCGGTGACCCTGTCCTTGGCGACGTGTTTGACAGCAACCTGAACGAGAAGCAGCCCCGGTTAGACGGAACGAACACAACAGCACAGGCATGAGAAAGGCTGGTTTAACGGAGGAAAACAGGATGTACTGACCGGAGTCCCGTCGGAAACCCTCGTACCGGAGTACACGGTGCCGAAGCCGCCGCTGCCCATCACGGCACCGACCTGATAAAGCTTCTCGAAAGGCTCCTTCTCCTTCACTGCGAACACACAAAAACCGGTAAACATCCCTTTAGGAAGACGGTGTTGGCCTGAGACCGGTAAATATGCGTGCAGCCGCGTTAGCTGCTGCAGCCCCGGTCCTCCGGGAAGGCACTGAGGGCGTCTAACCTTGTTGAACCTGGAGCTTCACCGGCATGTCTACGTTAGAGATGTGGGCCAGCTTAGACAGCAGCATTCCGGTAACCGAATCCACCACGGCGGGTTGGTTCAAACGGCTCCTCCTCGGTGTTCTAGTCCGGGCAGCTCGACTCTCCCGCGCTGTTGGGAAGCTTTCAGTCCACGTTGCGAGTAGAACAAAATGCGGCAAATCCTTTCATCCAGGGGGGGAAAGAGGGCAAATCCGCCGCGTGGTCCAGATAAATAAAAATAAATAATAAAAATGTCGACTCGGTGGCTGGACGCGAGTTCTCTCACAGCAACGAACGGGTCGTTCCCGGTGGTGTTTGTAAACAGAGGAGGAGAATAAACCCGCAAGGACACAACAGACGACCGCCTCAGCCAGACACCGGCTCCTGGAAACAAAAAGCAGGGGGAGGACGGCTATAAGGCAGTAGTAAGAGGGCGTGGCCTACGCGATGACGTTTATGCCGCGCGCCCGCCTCTTTCCGCTCTCTAAACCAATAGGAATACAGGTTCGCTTTCGGAACCGTTCGAATCTCACGTCAATCAGCGAACGAACCCAGACACAAGGTTTCAACCGGCCGGCCCAGACAGACGTGGCGGGAATCGAAACGCGCCAAAAAGGGTTGGAATAAAGCATAATTCTGGATTCATGTTGGAGGGAAATGCAAATTCAAAGCCAAGCGCCACTGTTGGAAAGGAGAAGACGCTAGGAGGACAATACAAAACATCAGCCTTGCACAGTTCTATTTATTTATTTCAGCAACTTTATTAATTTTATTGTAACTACATTAATATTAATTTTAATAAGTGTTTGCAGTTTTAAATCACCCAAAGAAACAAATGTCAGCGGCACAGCGATCATATCACACACTGATGCGTATTAATATAATTATTCATCTTTAAAGTCAGAATTGCATGCATGCGTTTACTCATACGTGTCTCATATTTGACTACGGGGAGCTTCCTGCTGCTTTCAAAGTCACAATTTGACTCGGAAACCAGGATTTGTTTTCCCGCATCAAGTGACACGTGCAACTCTGAGAGCACTTCATCATGTTCGGCTCCGTCTGTTCTTGCAGCCCGCCGTTTACCTGATTATTTTCGCGTTAAACACTGCAGCTTACTGGCAGCAGTGCTCTGCAGAGCCCGGGATTGCGCTCTATTGAAGACGCCTTTAGACTGGGTGCGCATCAAAGCGGCGCAGGGGGAGAAAATGCGCATTCCACGCATTCTTTCAAATTGGGTGGCCGCGTTTGCAGCAGTTCACAGGATGTGGGAAACCAGAGATAAAAAGACTTCTTTTGCCCCTCCGCCCTCCCTTTCCCGCGCATGTTATTGTCTGAGTGGCTTGCTCCTTCCCCCTTCTCCTGCTTAACTTACTTTTTGTTTTCTTTTGGAATTAAGTAGTAAATCGTCATGTATTGCATTCCACAATCTGCTAAAGCGAAAGCAGGATTCAAACTAGACGTAGGGGCGTGACTTTTAATTATCAGGTAGACTGTAATAAGAAAATAGACTTTGTTATTCCCATTAACATAATTTGTTTACATGCACATTCAAATGTGAGCTCCTTGCAACTTCTGGGTTGTGAAATGCACAAGAAATGTCATTCTTCCCAGCATCTGCAGGTCACCGTGCTGAGAGGAATGAAAATTGCAGAAAAGGGCTGTTCATACTTGCGTTTGAAATGCCCCAGGCAAATTCCTGCACTACCTTCTGAAGTGTTTGAGTTGAGCTGGACATTATGCATCTCAGCCTTTCCTACTGAATGAGGGAATAAGAGGACAGGTCCCATGCACCTTTTAAACTGAGCGTTGAATGCAAATGAATATTTTGAGTGACTTTTATTTGAAAATTCTCTGCATGCTTCCTCACAACTGCAGAGGTCTTAATTATTTTTAAGACTCACAATTTGAAAGCTACTTTAGCAGCTTGCATTCAGCATGAGGTCCTGAGACAAAGAGGATAGTTGCTGTTTCGGAATCCAGATTAAAATTTTAAATGATCTTCTTTAGTAGCTTTAGACTCACCTAATCCCTGTCTTTTTTAAATAACCTGGATACATTAAGTGCTTACAAATCCTTTTGCTCATTAAAGACGCCCTAATTACTGTTTGATGTGTCTTGATTGTGGTCTGTTTCGCGGTGGTATTCGGGGTGTGACATCACCTATGACCTACGACAGGTGATGTCACACCCCTTAATTGCGTTGGCCTTTATAGTTGACCTCGCCGTGCAGGTGTTTCTGGGTGCTACTGCTAGACAAACAAACCTCATTCGCCAACTGAAAAACACACACAGACATCTTGAACGTCAGTAAAAACAAAATAAAATGTTTTATCCTCATTACCAAAAGTGCTCAAGTAACATTTTTCCAAGTAATTTTTTTTAATCTTAGATAAATATTTGTATAAATGGCCTGTATTTGTATGGCGCCTTCTTGGGGTTCTATAACCCCCCAAGGCTCTTCACAACAAAACCAGTCATTCGCCAGTTCACACGCTGGTGAGGATGAGCTACGGTGTAGCCTCAGCTGTGCTGGGGTGCATTGACAGAGGCGAGACCTGCCACACACTGGTCCCTCCGACCGGGATCCAACCTGCAACCTTCCGATTACTGGAAAACCCGCTCTACAAAATGCATGCCTGTTTGCCTAAGGCAGCCTCCCAGAATACACTGCGACGTACGTCACGATCTATATTTAGTGACTTTAAAGTACGTCACTGAACATTCTTGCAATCTTTTTACTCTCGTAACACTTTTAGTAGATGTAAAAATTACAGATCAAAACCTAAATATTTCAGTTTTCTTTTATCATACTTGCCTCTCAGGGAGTGCACACCCGAAATATTCCCAAAAACTGTTGTATCGCTTTAACACACTGCTTTCATCAGACCCATTTCATCTGCTTCTCATTAAGGTTTGCTGTTACGGAGTGGAACCAATGGGTGTGCAGTTGCCACGGTGACCCTGATGAGCCACAGATAGCAGTTAAACCTTTGATGCTGGTTCTGTTTATTGGTTTAATTACAAAATAATTGAGAAAATGCTCATAGAAACACCAGTTATCGCTGCATTAATTTGTAATTTTTGATGGGTTTAAATGAACAAAGCATAAAGGGCACCGAAGTATTTTCAGTGCAGGTCAAATAGTGCTGCGAGTTCATGTTCAGGCAGGGCCGTTGAAGAGGTGCGTGAAAACGGAGAGGTCCGAGGCAGTGGGAATGACGTAGAAATGCCACCAGTGAGTGCATCTTCATGCAGGCTGCAGACATGCCAGCCTGCATGATCAGCAGGGCTCAGATGACAGCCATCCAACCCCATCTGTCAGAAGGACGTATTATTAGTTTGAGACCAGCTGCTCACACCAATATCTGGAAGTCTCAGTTTTCCCTGAGGGGAGAGCGGCAAGTTCTTACAGTAAGAGGGGACATCCCGCTTTTTACAATCAGCAAACACGGAGGTTTGTAATGCTCCACAACGGAGCTGCTCGGGTTTTTAACAAGTTTTTATAAAGTGTCAGAGAGTCTCGGAGCATTGAAGTTCAAGCAGCCACGAGGGGATATAAAAAAAGCCCCCATACTGATGATTTGGTTCACATACGCAATAGCTTAGATGAATTACTTCCTCTTTCTTTAGAATTAGAAACCACGCTCAGTTTCACAAGCATATTTTCTCCTGAAAAGCAGCGTCCGACCACCTGATATGTGCATAAAAATACACAAAGTCCACAGAAAGCATCACAAGTTCTGCGCACTCTCGATAATGTAAACTTATGCAACAGCGTGCGTTTACTGACACTGCAGAGCGAAGCTCCCATAAAGTCTCCTATCTCTCTGACCTTTTGATTCATCCTTGGCCTGGTCCTCCACCCACACTCTCAGGAAATTACATATGCTGCGTTACACATCAACTAAGCACATACTTTTCCTCTAGATATGGTTCTCTGTCTTCTCCGTCTCATTCAGCAGGTCCCGCCACTCGCCTGCTCCCAAAGCTCTTGTTTGTCCAAGTGTCCCGATGACCCACCAGCCACTTATTCAGCTGTTGCAACAAATCCCTCCTGCTGCCACTCTGCAAGAGACAGGAAAATTATTATGGCAATGGGCCGGACAAGTGTTAACTCACACTGGGCTGCTAGAATGCAAAGAAATTCAACATAAATAAAACATGCTTCTCTTTTGTTGATGCTCCCAATCGTTGACCGTAGAAGCACGAAACTCCTTTCATTGCAAGTAGAAAATGTGCATTTAAGGCAGGGGTGTCCAATCCTGGTCCTGGAGGGCCGGTAACCAGCAGGTTTTGTGGTTTTTCTGCTTCAACACGCTTGATTAGCTGGTTGAATCACCTGTGCAGCAGCTCATCAGGCTCTGCAGAAGCCTGTTAATCACCTGCTGATTGAAATCAGGTGTGTTGAAGCAGGTTAAAATGAAAACGTGCTGGATACCGGCCCTCGAGGACCAGGATTGGACACCCCTGATTTAAGGGATGAACTGCAGTTTACGGTTTTTGCATCTGCTCACGGTCAAAAGAGATGCATGAGTGTGCAGAAGTATCCAGGGTCCTGTCCGGCTCGTGTCGTTTCTTTAACTTTGTGATAATCTGCGTGTGTCTTCCAGAAGAGATGGAGCTCCGCATCCGGATCCACCTTGCACCGCGGTGTAAATGTGCTGATTGGACTGAATAGAGCCGCAGGTTGAAGACTCCTAGACCAATGAATTAAACAGTTGTTGCAGCTGACCAGAAGCCTGTTGTTTTGGTCCCGGTGGATTTGCTCAAATGGACACAAAAACCAGGTTGAAACAGTGCTGCTGTGAACTGGCAGGAGCTGGAGATTCTGGACATGTGACGAGCAGTTTTGCTGGTTAAACTGGTGCTCTGGTGCTTGTGGGCACCTTGTCAGTGGTTGACAAAGATTACCACATAATTAGAGGATGGTTGCAAAGCCGCCCTGTAGCTCAGCAGGAAGAGCTGCTTCGCCTCCCTCAGACAAACAAAGCCTGCCCGTGTCGTTTATGTTGATTGGGTCCCCGCACAAAGACGCCTTCAGGGCCGCCGTTTCGTACCACTTAAGATTTGACACAGAGGAATTTATTGATGAGGGCCAGCAAAGGTTTTGGTCCGGACATCCTCTCGCTCATCATTCAAGCTGTCACTGGTGGTTACCTCATCGACCCACTTGGCTCTGAGCTTAATGCGTAGGTGAAGCAGGCGTTGTGGTCGGTCACTGCCCAGTCTGAGCGCACGGGTCATGGAGGCTTCCACAACAACCACCTCAGTCTGACGCACGTGTGCGTGTACGCAAACGGACAAATGCTGAAACAGTATCAGCTGCAAAGCGTTTTTAACGCTCACAGAAGAAGGAAAACACCAGGATGTGTGTGTGGGGGGGGGGGGGGGGTGGGGGGGGGGGTGGTCCATTAGGGAGGGCAAATTATTTTTAGAGGTCACTTAAAGGAAGAAAGAGCTGCTGTGCGGTGGGCAACCTCTGGTGTGGCCTGACCTCTCCAAAGGTACCCCCCCCCCCCCCCCCCCCCCCCCCCCCCCCCACACACACACACACACACACACTGACCCAGGACCTGAGAGGCCTGGACCAGGACCATGAGAACAGCCTCCCATAGACATCAAAGCCGGCCTTTGTGGGGAAGCACTACAGAAGGTTTGCCGTGTACCCTAAAGGTCACCCCAGGGCAACTTTCATGTCAGCACAGGCCCGGTTTAGGGTCAGAGGTCAATGGCATACCTGTGTAGCTCCACTCAGACTGTTCCACTCAGGAATTATCCCCACTTGTCTCAATTAGGAATTTGATTACCAAAGAGTATGGCTTGTTTTTAGCTGTAATCGGTGTAAAATAACCAGGATGTTCGTGAACCGGACATCACAGATCCTGTTGTTGGCTTCGGACCTGCTCGTACTGGAGCTTAGATCAGAGGAAATAACACTTCCTAGTTTATCCCAGGAATTCCTTCTGGATAATGACACTGTTGACAGAGGGGATTATCTCATGTCCTATAAAAGCAAAAACAAAAACACGTCCTAATCTTTGCTCTGTGGCATTTAGACATGATAGCGAACAACTTGTGTGTTTATTGTCGACTGCAGCTGATTTTTGAATCCAAAACACTTCGACTAACCCTTCATGTCTGAAGCAGAGCTCTTATTCTGAAAAGCCTGCTTTAAATCTATAGGAACAGAACGAAAGGATCAAGCCATCCTAGTTGTTTTCCGTTGGTCGTGTTTTTGATCATCTCTGCGTGAGGATCTAATCTCTGAAGCTGTAAAAACATCAAAAGCAAAGAAAATGCTCGAATACTACAAATGTTTTGAGTAATGAAACAAGAGTAATGTCAACAATAACATATCTGTGATAGTTTTAACGAGCGGGTTCACTGAGAAACCATTTTTTATTTATAATTTCTCCTGTTTTCTGCATCAGCTTCTGATAGAAAACAGACGGTGAAACTCTAGGATTAGAAAAGCCTCACAGATCTACATCACACTGTCACTTAACATTCAAGGGTTGTTTCTCAATGTCAAGGCGCCTGGCCTTGCAAGGCGATGTCTTGCGAGGCCAGGCGCCTTGCTTACGAGGACACTGTCCTTCCTTGGTCAAAGAAAATGGTTAAATGGAACAGACTTGCATCACGTGACCGCGGCTTCCACAGCAGTCACGTAACGTCACGTGACACGGGAGATAACGTTATATTTTATACGTATGAGTTTCAATATAAATATATAACAAGACTTTTACTTTTTAAATTGTGTATATGTTTATTAAATTAAATATGTAAGTGAGTTACTACCTGCTAGCCACAAAAGCTGCAACTACTAAGCAACTAACCAACCATAGATAACTTCTTTGGATCTAAAAAAACATTTTAAATTAGTTGACTTACTTTTAAACTTGAAAATTGTCCCCAAAGTAGCTGCCGGCTACTGATCCACCGTCTTTTTGAAAATACCGGGGTGTATTCTGGGTAATTTTTGACCAAGGCTAGGCTACAAGACACCTCCCGTGTATCCTTGCTCAGCTAGCTAAACGGCTAACAAACGGGGAACACACCCCTCGGTAGAACATGAACACTGGAACACGTCTTGGCGGCTCCCGATGACGTATCTCCTAGGCAACCGGGGCGGGACCAAGACATCAAGGCAAGGTTCCTTAGCTTTGAGAAACACTCATGGACTCACCCATCTTGACTCCATCTTTAGCGTCCAGAAAACAGCAGAGAACGCCTTCACTGGTTGAAGCTAACCGTTAGCATTAGCAACTCCACAACATGACAGAGCTCCTTCACGCTTGTGTTATTCGGGGAGATAAAACATCAACGTGGCAGCGCTAACCGGATCAGTGGTAGAGTCGCGTTGCTGTTAGCCAATCAGAAGCAAGATGTTCAAATATCAGGAAATAAGACTTCAAATTCTGTCGTCTGAAGCTACTTTCTCCTCCAGCTGACTTTTACATCCTCAAACAGGCGCACTAGAGCTTTTTTTCCCATAGTGTACAACCCACAAAGCATTCCTTCCTACTGTAGACCAGGGGTTCCCAAAATGTTTTCTTTGAGGACCCCCTTGCTGGTGTCCAAGACAAGCCAGGACCCCAACCCCAAGTCCTACACACATTAAATGTGATCAGTTACTATCTTTATACAGAGGTATAACTTATATATGGAGTTCTGTTATTATGTTATCGGGATTGTATAAATGTATTTTTTTTTTCAAATGAAATCTTGTTAACCACACAACCTTAGCAAAGTCAAAAATGTGGGGACGCCCTTGGGGGTCCCGACCCCCAATTTGGGAACTCCTGCTATAAACCACTGCAAATATAGTGAAGCTGACCTACTGAGGTCAAGTTTGTTATTATCCATGCTGACGGGGGGGTTGGGGGTGGTACAGACAAACACTGGTTGTTTCTGAAACCTAAAATGCAAATAAATAAAATAAATGCTGGTTCATGTTTGAGTCGGTCCAAATTTATTTGTTCTTCTAACTCCACAGAGAAGAAAAAAAATATACTTTCTATGTTCAACTTTCATTTCAGGACTCAACGACAGCAAACGCTTGTAAAAATGAGAATAAACTCCTTGGAAAGCTTTATTTATTTATTTATTTATTTACTTATTTATTTATGTAACAAAACTTTGACCAAAAAATAGACGAGATGAAAAAATGACTTTTGGTCAAACCTAGAACTAAAACTTTTGCCTTACACCTTCCTGGCCACGTGTACCCCTCTTATTTTGAAATGACGTCCCTAACATTCCTAACCCTAACTGAAGAAAACAAGTAAAAATAAATGTTAAACTCTTATTTTATGAGATTAGGGTGCAAAGCTACAATGAGAAATTAAAAAAACAATCAATAAATATTACATTTTCTAACCAAAACACTGAATTTGTTTGAAAATCAGGCGGTCTGAAAGACACTCTGAACCCAAAAGACCCCCCATCACATCTCATGCTGTCATGATTCCTGTGTCAAAAGGAGGAGCGGGCGTCTGGGTGGTGGTGGGGAGCACAAAACCACGTGCTCCTGGGAGGAATGTGCTGAACCAGGAAGAAGTCCCCTCCTGTCACCTTCCCACGGAGGGTAGAGGACGGGTGTTGTTGTTTATGGGCTGTACACATTTATCCACGTGGGAAACAGACGGCTGTGACATATTAAACCAACAAACAGCCCAGTGTCAATGCTAAGGAATGCTGGTGGTGGGATTATCGGAAACTTCCCACAGAGGGAGAACGGGGAGTTTCTCCTGGCTTTATTATTGGCAATCAGCTGATCTGTTTTTATTCTCAGCCACATGAACAAGCTCGCTCTGAGAAGCAGCATCAGGTTGTCTTTGAGACTCCTCCCCCTCCCGTCCTTTCCCTCCATTTAAACACGGTTTCTGTTTCGTCCCACACACCAGAAAACTCTCTCTTTTCCTTTTCTCACCCTCCTTCCACATCCTCACCCCTACCGTTTACAGTTGATTTGCA